GTACTTTTAAACCACACTATAGTCTCAGAGTTCTGTATATGCTTGTATACTGGAAGATTTCAGAGATTACAGTGGAATTATTGATCTGTTTAGTGTTAGGAAAGCTATTGATTATGTGGTGGTGTGAGCTTATGTAAGCATAAATTGACCTTGCAGGGTATTTTATTTGTATTTCAACTGGGGTTCATGGCAGTACACAGATGTGATAAGCAATACTGTTATATAGGTTAGAGTATAGCTCGCAACAAATTAATCTCTTCAAGAAGGATTGGGGTTTTTTTAATCTGCAGGAATGTTTAACACACACTTTTGAGAAGAGATATTGAAGTGGGAAAAGGGTAATAGAGGTCAAGGGGAACAAAAAGCAAGAGGAAAAATAACAGGACTAAGAAAATGGGTTGATCTTTTAACTAGTGTTTTTAAGAGTCTAGGTTCTTGTTTTGAAAGTAGTAATGTTTTTTCTTTTTAAAAAAAGTAAAAAATATTTGCGTGAGGGTAGAGGGAAGCAGTGTGCCAGCTAAACTGCAGTGTAACATCAGGAATTTTACAACTGTATTTTACATCTAGGAATTTCCTTCTCCCTTCATTATCAGACGCAAATAAGGTTTGTCTGGAGTGGTCTTTCCTGGGGAGAGGGCCCAGTACCCACAGTTCACACAAGGCTATTCCAGTGTGATACCACTCCTGAGGAACTGTTGCATTGCTTTGCCAGGCTTCAAGCTCAGGGAGATAGCCCAGAAATACAATGCCCAGAGGCTTCTCTGAAACACAGCATCTGCACAGCCTTTCTGTCTCCATATCCTTCCTCCCCTCATTTTGAGGGCTGTTTTAACTCTTTGTAGCTTTCTGCAAAAACAAGAGTCACAACTGTTTTAAAAACCTGTAGACTGTTTGGCACCATGGGTGTAGAGCCCAGATGAGAATAAATCAAGCTTAAAAGTCTGTAAAGCAAAGAGACGCGAGGTGTAAAAGACGATTACAGCTTGCACCTAATCGTGCTCTGTAATTTGTTACTCTAATGAAACATTTCTTTTAAGTGGAAAACCTTTGAAGAATACTAATATAATAATTAATATTCAGGTTACCTAGGGAACCTGAGACTCTACTGAGTGTGGCTAGAAGAACCTTTGCAGAGGAAGCTACGCAGCATGGCTTTTTTTCCTGGAGTTTTAAGGATGACACTTCCAGGCAACTGTGAGCTTATTTCCCCTACCTTTCCAAGTTTCTACCAAGTTTCTCTCTTAGAACCAAGAAATCCAAGGACTTGCACTGTCTAATACAAGTTAGAGTTGATGTAAAATTGAAAAGGGAGGAAGACCGGACTTGAGGTTGACTTAGAAACAAATGCATAATGTGGAGATGTGTAGAGCCATAAAGAACAAGAAAAAAAATTAAAAAAAGAACAAAAGAAAGTGAATTTCATAAAGAAAAAGTCTGAATAAAAAAATAGTTTTTTATATGTCCCTAGCAGTAAATGTTGGAGAAGATTTTCCCTAAATCACAGTTAGTAGGACGCTATTTACACCACTTCCGGTACATCACCTTTACTAGCTTCTATTGTGAAGCTATATAAAACCTCTTTAGCAATGACTAACAGATGCTACTGTGGGGCACAATAAATCTTAACTAGATTTCAAGAGCAATGAACCAAGTGCTTGCACTTGCTCCTCTGAGGGCAGCCTAAATCTGGCAATGCTGATGTCACTATTACAGACACTAAACTGAAGGGCCAGGGTATTGGTTTCCTGACAGAGACTGGACAAAAATCAACCAGAGAAGAGTGCCCGTGGATATGAGAGGTATCAAAGAGAACATCATGGCTTGTACTTGCCTCCTGGTTCCTCTTGATTTTGAGAAATGCATGTGTAAACATCACGTAGCTGTCAAGAACTACTGACCACTGCCAGATAATAATCTAGCCACCTGCAGAGCAGAGCAGCTTTGGAGGAAGCCATTTGGAAAAGGCCAGCTCTCTGACAAAAAATGGACACAGTTTGCACAGCTGCATGATAAAAGTAGTAGAGGGTCGACCTAGGATCCAGCACTCTTCTCTCCAACAGTGAGCTGGCAAAACCACTGTACTTTGTGCGAGGCACGCCTGTCAGCTGTAACACATTTGCCAAATAAAAAGACAAGTATTTCTTTCCTGCACTGCACTTCTAATTCATATTCTTTTATTTGGCCTGGATCTGCTGGGAGAGCAGCTTACAAAGAGGATGGATGTGTACACATTGGTACACCATGCTGTCTTCTAGGAACATAAGAGTTACTGGCTTAGATCACATATTCCTTCACTCCACTAGCAGTGTGATGGCAGCCAAAAGCTGCAAAGGAAAACACAGGAAAGCTTCTCTGAAAAATTGGCTACCCCAGGAGAAGCTGCTCTTGAACCTTATTAATTAGAGGTTAGTTTATGCCCAGAAGCATAAGACATTAAATCCCTTATAAATATGCATGCGTGTCCTTCAGAACTTCAGGATAATAGAGAGATGTCATAAAATTGACACCATGCCCGAGAAGCATCTAAGTGTTCATTCCATTTAACAGATGGGCAAACAGGAAAAGAAGTCAAGCAGCTTCTCTGCAGTCTAGTCAGCAGGCAGACTTCTGGTGGCACTGGCAGGTGACTAATGTGACACAGGCAGCTTCAAGTCCCCCTCCTAAAGGTGGCTGGCTGTAGTACCCAATCCCTGCTGCACAGCCCCTCTGAGATTAATTTCCTCTTCTGAAAATGGGTGTGTTTATCTACCTACTTAATGAAATTTTTAGAACTGTATAATATTTGCATTATACAGCTATTACTAACAGGAGGGTAAGTTAGAAAGAGATATACTTCCTGTGGATTATTAATTCATTTATTTCACCACAATTCTAGAAACTTTGTTCCCCACAGAGCTCTGTCAATGCATCATTTCTCATCTAAAGTGTCCTTGCAAACCTAGTTCCAGGCTCTTGAGCTTAAGTCTGATAAATAAGTTTGGGAATGCTGTAAGCATGGACTGTATACAGATTTAGACAGTAAATTTTAAATGTTTCTATTTTTTAAACCTTTGTTTTAAAGCCTCTATTGACCAACTGCTAAGAGCCTTGAAAGTCTCCAGTATGGTCTGGGATGAAGGACAACTGTAAAATTTTAATATCCTATTTCCACAAAACAACAGCGAAGAGTTTGAGGATAGAAAAAGAAAGAAAATACCTATGCAAAAGTATCCATCTTTTGTAAAACAATCATCCATAATGCCCTACACAAAAGTACCAGTCCTTGGTCCTACCAATGGAATTCTTGGATGACATCAAATCAGATCAGATTTCAGGAACAGAAGAATATACAGTACTGTCATCAGAATTGCAGCATGGGTTGTGTATCTATGACCTAGTTAACACTCTAGCTAATTTGGATGTTAAAACCCAAGGAAACCATAACAGCACAGCCCTGGAATGTGGAATCAGTAACAAGTTTGTCCAGCCTGTGCAGAACCATGGATTTAAAAACACGGTTTTTTGCTTGGTATTTGAGCTAAGTTAAAGCTGGAAAGATCACCTCAATGTACATACAGGCCACATTTTTTCGGTGGTTTACTGCTGCAGCCCATAGTTTCCACTTTTGAATATTTCCAGTTTGATCACTGGTTGTATAACCCATCTTCACTACTTATGACCCACACTCCTCGCTGGAAGCCAAAGACAACATGAGGAACAGTAAGCATCTTGTACTTCAAATCCAACAGTCTTATATGATGGTTTGGATGTTTGATTCCAGTAGGCCTAGAAGATGTAGAAGTCAGCACAGTGGAAGGGATATTGCAGAAGCAATAAATGAAGAGGTCCAGCTGGACCAAGGAGTGGCTACTCTGCCATTGATTCATACATCCAGAACAACAGAAGCAGTAGCAAATTGCTGGTACGTGGTGGTTGGTCTGTTTGGAAGGAAGAGAAGTAAAAAAGAGATTGGAAAACAAAAAGGCTAAATGTAGGAGAGTGATGAGCAGATGAGAGCAGCTTCACCTTCTGTCAACTCTGTGCAAGATGTTTGTCCATTCTGAGACAGAATGGGCTGCTTTACAGCTCCTTATTGTGCTCTGATATCCTTGTGCACAGCTAAAGCCTGCCTGAGTCAACACAAGGTTTCTAAAACCTTAAATTTGTGTATACCCCTACCTCAGCTTTGGGAAACACTATTAGTCAGTTATGATATACAGGAAATACAGCAATTTATGTTACAATTTATGTTATCCTTTACCCTGCTCCCACCCCCCCAAACTACTTCTTCTAAAGGTATCATGCTGAGCATGGGGATATCAAGTTCTCAATGCTAGTTAACTCTAAAGAGTTGGAAGGTAGGCCAGTTCATTGATTTTTAAAGATTATGACAGAATCTTTAAATCTGACTCATGTAATAATATAATTAATAGAGATTTTTCCCCTGGAGAAAATAGGGATGGCACAGTGAAGCTGTTCTTTAAAATCAGCATTTCTGAATGAGAGTTTAAGTTTTTCAGGGATCACTGTTCCTACTGAGCATGTACTTATATGCCACCCCAAACAAGGACAGATGTAACCACGTGCTGAGGTGCTCAGGGGCCATGACATGCAGCATCAAACCTAATGAGTGCCTTGGGCACTTCTGTAATAGAAGCGATAGTCTTGGGGTAAGAAATACACTGCTTTATTTCATAGTCTTTTACCAGAGTGCTATATCAGATGGACAAAATAACATTATTGTTTGGAGTTTTTCTAACATTGAAGGTTTTGTGCCATGAATATTTTAATCCATTCTACTTGAGTAGCGGAGATAGGTGATATTGCTTCATTTATGTAGTTCTTCTACTCAGTTTGCACAGTTCTATTCCAACAAACAAGAAGAGCCCCAGCATCAAAAGAATCATAGAAATTAGTAAAAGCAATACAAAATTATCTGTTTAAAAGGGAAGATTTAAATTTATGGTTTGTTAGAAAAGTCTAGGTTAAACAGTTTTTCTACATAAGTCAACGAAAATTACCTGAATTTTGTAGATTCTTCTGGTCTCCTTATCCAGGTGCAGTTCTGCAGTTTTGTAACTATGTGAAGATAATAATCTTCCGAATATCTAAAAAAGGAAACAACATCAAACAGTAGAATTTATATGTATGTATATTTAGAAGCAGTCTCTAAAACATTCAAATGATGCATGCATTAATAATAATGTGCATGGTGCATATATAATAGATTGCTTTTAGAACTCCATGACCTATTTTATTTTTGTAATTTTTAACAGTACTATCCTCATTTAATTAGCATGACCTATTAAACATCTCTTCTTAGTAGTGATGTCCTAATGAACTTCTCTTTTCAGAAACTTTCAAAAGTACACTGGTTTCAAACTTAAGTAATTAACCATAAATATCTTGAAGTTATTAAAAATCATCTCAAGTGCAAAAGCCCAAAATAATACAAAACACTCTTGTACTCGGTGGTTTAAATTTCAAAAATGTTTTGAAAAGTGGCTCTTGCAAGTCAAGATGAAACATCACACTTCTTATGCTTTTTCTTTCATTTACTTTATAAGAGTCCCCAAAGCTCAATTCAATCATCTAAAACTATAGACCAATATTTACAGATGGAAGTTTTCCTTTAAATTATTCTTAAATAAAACAATCTGCTATTTTACGTCAACCAGCACGTGTAGCAATGTACATTGCTACATGTAACCAAAGAGCTCTCCGCTCCTTTTAAACCTTTCAAGAGATTTAAATTTGTCCCTAAGTGAAATACTTTATAACACATAAGTCAAAAGATTGGATACATTTTTTCCTTTCAGGTTCAATGTTACTAATTCTCCCATTTGTGCTTGGCTCATAATACGGTTTGTAAAAAACAATAACTGACTTATGAAGAGGACTGAGGGAATGGGAAGAAGAGATGGTACAGATGCCATGAATAAGAATTCTGTGGTACTCAAGTCTCCATAAAATATCTACCATGTATTATTTTAGCAAAAATAGCTTAGTGTTGGCCCAAACCCAAATGATCACTACTGTATTTAAGCTGGAACTTACAAGTCTGTATTGTGAATAGTTTTCCAAGAACTGGGATGGCAAGAAACCCTGCTTGTTTTTAAATGGAGCATGAGAATTGATAAAAAGGAAGACTGTGATGGCTTGCAGTAGCACAGGTCAGTGATCTGAAAGCTTCCCTCCCTCTCTGTGTTCAACATCTGAAAAAAACAGATCTCTTTTTTGTTTCCTTCATAAAAGTACTGCAACTGCTAAAGGTAACTGCTAAAGGTAACTACCCCTGAGCAAAATCATAGCCAACTTGGAAAAATAAATGATACTGTTAAGAGTACAATATAATAAATGACATGAATATAATAAAATAAATTATACTGCATTAGAACTGGTCTCTGGCTCAAGTTTTCATCTGTGACAACATGTGTGATTTTCATCCTCCACACTTAGAAAACTCTTATAGGAACTAGATGATTATGACTAAACTGATTTTACTGAGCCCTTGCACAGCTCAGGAGGAATGACTGGGTAGAAGCGGGAGAAGAGCAAACTAGTTTCATTGCAGCTGTAGCTGATCTGACCTGGTGCAGTACATTCTTCCTCTTTCCAATCCAACTCCAAATCAGTTCTCTCCCTTGTGTCACAGCTGGTACTTACTTGACTCCACCCCTGTTTCCCTCTGGCCAGTTTTTACACTTGCCAAATGCTTCCATAGGCCACTTTAACTTACTACCACAGCAAAAACAACCAACCAACTCACCCACCAACCAAAAAAAAAAAAATAGAAGGAAAAAATATGCATATACATTTTCTTCTTAGTCATTGTGTTAAACCAGATCAAGAGAGGTTCCATCAAACACCACAGCCAGTATAAGCAACCAGTAATGGGAGTGGAAAAACTGGGAACAAGACCCTCCTATTTTGGCAGCTGCCTGCTGGTATGCCGCATTATCAGCCTTGGAACTGCAGCCAGAGAAAATGGAACTACTTTCCTGCTGAAGCTGCTACCTAAATTGACTCACCATGAGGTCAGAGAAGTGTCAGTACCAGCGCAGGCCAGGGCAGGGAGTGCATATGGGGGGAGGATGAGATAAAAGCACAGGACCAAAATAGCCTATTCTGATGTTGAATCACTCGTCTAGTTTTATTCCTTAAGGCTAAACAACAAATAACTCTTAGGTGCTGGGACTTATGAAGAAATTCCAAAAATTAACAGGATAACAGAGCATGAAGAGTTACTTAGGCTATCATCATCCAGGAAAAAAAAGTATAGAAAAAACAAAGTCTAGCCTACAGACATAGATAAGATGAAGATCAGAGTCAGAAATTAAAAGAAAAATTACCATCAGCTCAGAAAGAAATTTCATGGACTGACAAGTTATTAGCAAGTTGCAGGGAAACATTTGGTAAGGAGAAAAATGAAAACGTCATCCATAATGCCGGTTCTGAGGGCTCATGGGAAACACAGGCACTCACTGTCAGAAACTAAGGACCTTCTTACATATAAAACAGAAGATGCACACAGGGTAAGAACATCAATTACAAAGGCAAGAACACTGCAGCTTTTCCACTGCTGTCTGCTGGATGGAATGACTCCTGCTCAGAGGTTAACCAGTTCACCCAGAAAAGCACCACTTCCACGTCTTTACAAGTCAGAATACTGCTCTCCCTGTGCATCCAGTTTAGCTCTTCTTGTGACTTACAAAGGCACTCCAGACTGTCAGAACTCATCTTTGCCAGCTGGCACAGTGCTACAGGGAGCAGAGACATCCCAGTACGCTGTCCTGGGGGACAGAAGTTCCCAACTGTGGCAGCTCTGCAAGGTATCTGCTCACATCAATATGAGGCTTCCATGAAATGAACTCTACTTGAATACACACAATATTCCTATAGATAATTTTTTTAAGACCCAAATTGAAGCTCTGAGATTTGCTGCAGCTGGGTTTACAGCCCAGAAATCTTTGTTTTCTTCTCAGAAAGCCGATTTTAACACTTCCTGCTTTAAAGGAGCCTTGGGGACTCACTCCTCCAATGGAATCAGACCAGAAGGTCATCAGGGAATCATTTCACAGCTCTGCTGTAACCCAGACAGTCGTTTTCTCCACTGATCCATTTTAAAGAGCTGGGACAATACATATATTTCCACTGGCACCCAGGAGCCTACAGCACATATTCACTGATGCTAAAAGGGTTTTATTATTAAAATAAAAAGGCTTAGGTAAATTGAACTATAAAAATACTTGGACAAGACAATTATTACAGTGCTGAGAATAGTGAATGAAACATGTTTTGTCCTGTTTTTGTTTGCCACCTGCACCACAACCATTATAATAACTTCCTGTCATAGAAAACTCATACTGTATGAGACTTACTGACAAATAACATCTGGAAGCCACTTTTTTTTTGTTGCCTGCAGTATTTGTCAGGTACACAGTGACCTTCTACATTAAGTGCAGTGACTAAGGTGGAATTATTATGCATAGTCAAAAAATGACAAAATATGAAAAAATATAAGTATCTTCTGATTTTTGGCAGATATCTGTAGGACAACAGCAGGGACAGAAGTGTTGGGATAGTATGGAGACAACAGGTAAAATGTCAGAAGAGAGAGACCGATGCAGCCCCACTGGTTACTTGCTAAAACTAAACACTTACTTGTTAAAAAAACTATTTGAATTAGAAGAAAGACTGAACAGCAGGAGTGAAAAAAGGATATATTCCTACTTAGCAGCTTATCTTCAAGAAAAAAACAAACAAATAAGAAATACAATGGCAGGATATGCAAGAGAAGGGAAGGATGCATTTTGCCTTTGGACACTTTACTACTACCAAAAAAAACTATCAGTTTTAAAAACCCTCAGGACAGTGTGCACAGCACTTGCTCTAGAATAAAAATGGAAAATTGCCAGCCAAACTCATTATTTCAGGCTTTTTATCACCACCAGCGCATACCTGCTATAATAACTTCCCACTTACATAGCATTTTTTACTATCAAATCATTTGACAACCTTTAAACTAGTAATTTTTTCCCCTTCTGCCAACTTAAGAGGCAAGAGTGTTCAGAACATCCCTGAAAGTCTAGAACTGCAATATAAGGCATTTATATACCACGTCCGTGGGTCACACCTTGAAAAAGCATCAAAGATCCCTACAGCTCCTCTCAGTGAAGGGCAATAGCTACAATATTTGTGGCAAAAAGCAATCCCTTGCTCCTTCGCTCCCAATTCCTCTTTTGCCTCATTAAATGGTGCAGTCCCTTTATCTTTAGCCACAGGATAAACATCTTGCACTTTCTAAAGTTTCTGCTATAATCTCAGCTCCAAAATGCTCTCGATATGAAGAGCTCATCTCCATTGTTGCAGCCTGTACATCTTTGCAATGTGTAGGGTAAACAACAGCATTGATATATTGCTAAGTGGATTTTGAAGGCAATACACTGACTGGTTGTCCTTATCTTGGTGTCAAACACTTAAGTTTTCAGCATTCTTTGACCTCTGTTTGCCAGTCTATGTTTCAGTTCTCACTAACATACTGGTGTTCCACCTTTCAAAAGAGTAAAAACGTTAATGACAGTGTTGCTGATGAGGTGAAATATTCATGGAAGAAGACATTATAGAGAGTGGATGGGGGAGAAAGGAGAAATAAATAGAGAAATAGTAATAGTAAAGAGAGAATGCTGGAAGTATGGTGACAGAAACAGGTGAAAGATCTTTAAATGCAATGAGAAAGTGAGGAGAGAACAGAAAAATTTTTTGGGTTTCAACTTGCTGTTCTGTCTTTTTCTGACATGAAAACCCCCCCAACTTTGATATCAGCCCTGCTCAAATTCTTATCACTCTCTAAAGCGTCACTTTCTAAAGTGACCTCACAGATTCTACCCAATCTTTTTGGGAATAATTTGGAATATAATGTTGCTAACTGACAAGGAGAAATTTTGTTGACTTATGTTGTTAAAATAAAAAAAAAATAAAATCCAACCTTGAATAAATTTTATCCATGTATAAGAAAAAATGGGGAAAATATTTGTTGAACAATTTCAGTTTCCTGTTGTATAGCTCCAGATTAATATATCGGTAGTTATGTAAAAAAGACAATCTCTTATCCTTCAATTTAGAACAAACAAAGCAGAAAGCACAGAAAACACCTACCTTTTCTTCTTGATAGATGATGACAAAATGTTGTCCTGAATTGCCTTACATTTTGAAGCCTGTTCAAACTGGTAAATTCCATTTTTATTAGCAGTTGTTCTGTTAAAAAGGGGAGGGGAGTAGGAGATAAAGCAACAAATGTTAAAAGAGAGAACATATTCTAACAGTGCTGTCACATTTACTTTGCTATGACAATAAGATTAATAACTGTTGATTTAGCTGAAAACATTACCAAATGAATCTTATTGACTGCTTTTGTGAAGCTTTTGTTATAAAAGGGGAGTTTGCTGCTAGGAGCTACAAAATGTTCAATTCTTTGAAAGAACTCTATTTCATAGTCGGAATTATATTTTGTGCTTTACACTGTAATCAGCAAATGTAATTTAAAAAAAATAAATTAAATGGAAGCATCTTGCACATCATGCTTTGAAGATATTTAAAATATTCACTAGTAAAATATTAAGCAGATGTGATTTCCTAAAGTTGTTGATGAAATGCAATGTTCAGAGTCAATATAATATGTACAGAAAACACCACAGGTGAAGTGGATCTTTGTACTTGGACCTTAACTTACTGACTTGAGTGTAATACTTCCTGCCTTGATTATTCTTTATTTACACAGAGAGGGTAAATATTTGTAAAAGGAACTAAGACAAGTGCCAGATACTGATCTTTAATTCCTGCCTTATTTTCACCAAACTCCTGTGTGGTCCTCCTGCTCTGGCAGCCCTGGTAAAAGACTGAGATGTAAATTACTAAATGACTGAGATACCAAGGTCTTATTGCATTCACCTCAGTTCACCCCCTATCTATGTTCCATCTCATATAATCACCCTCTTCTGCCATCAGCCTTCTGCTGTGTGGATTGCCATTTATCATTAAGATTTTTCCTCCAGTATTTTTATTCTCCTTGCCCCTCACCATCTTCCTCCCTGCCACCTCCCTGTCCTTTTTGGTTCTTTCCACTGATTCACTATTTACAGAGCACTTGGACGTTGTAACCTGTTTGTCCAAACTAGAAGTAGAAATGCAGAAGACAGAGATGCTGTGTCATTCACTCCTGGGTGTGAGCTGCAGCGCAGAACAGAACTCATGCTGTTCTTAGAAACAGAGAACTGAGACATCTCGATACAGAGGCACTCATACACAAAGAGAAAGGGTCTTCCTACTTTGTACACAATGCTCTCTGCTTCTGAACCATCACTGCTTTTAGTGAAATGGACCAAACTCCATTGCCTTCATCTGTTAAAACATGGAGACCACTTAGCAAGATTTCTGACAAGCTGATTTTGAAGACCTTACTTGGGAAAGATGCCATTTTAAGCCACAGAGTGGCCAAGGTTGGAAGGCACCTCTGGAGGTCACCTGGTCTAATCTTCCTGCTTAGGCAAGGTCACCTAGAGACAGTGGCCCAGGACTGTGTCCAGATGGCTTTTGGATATCTCCAAGCATAGGAACTCCACAAGCTCCCTGGGCAGCCTGTACCAGTGCTCAGTCACTCTCACAGTGAAAAAGTGTTTCCTGATGTTCAGAGGGAACCTCCTGTGTTTCAGTTGGTACCCACTGTCTCTGTTCTGTCACTGAGCACCTCTAAGAAGAAATTGGATCCATCCTCTTTGAACTCTTCCTTCAGGTATCAATAGGGTCCCCTCTGAGCCTTCTCTTTTTAAACACTTCAAATGAGAAGAATGACTGAAGAAGAAAGAGAAGAACATATCCTTGTTTATTTTGCTACTGAACTGACTGTCATGTTCACAGCTGATGGGAGGAAAAGGAATGAACCATCTTTCCTCCTCTTTCCACCGCACACGAATGTTCTAGTGAATCAGTCACTTCACAGGAGCTCTCTTCCTTTCTTTCCACCATCAAGAACTTTTTCCCAGTATACACTTAGTGGTCCTAAGGAAATATCCAGTGTGCACATCCCTTTTTGAGGGCAACAGTAAGACAACGTAACATACATCTCTGTCCTTTCAGTTCTGCAGTGACTTTATAGTAACAGCTCACACTGCCTACTGAGAGCTCCTTGGCTGCCTTTGTACGCAGCTCCTTATTTAATTCCTTCTCAAGGAGTGACATACAAATGGCAGAAGGCTCTCAGAGCACACAGTTCAGAGCTAACAACTCAGCAGATCTCACACAGCAAGTGCCAGCAAATATTCTGTCTATGCCATTTTTGCACACAGATTTATTACAGCTTGGTCTGAATGATTCTGGTAGGCCCTTTCCAGTTACCAAACAAATTTAGTTAGCACTAAATCATGTTTCCTCTCTCTTGCTTCTTTAACTCAGTAACCTCAAATGATTATTCTGCAGCTGCAGCTCAAAGTTAGAGAAATGGCTACAGGCAAAGTTTAGCTGCCTAAACAGCATCTTAAAAAATAAAAAAAGAAAAAGTCTTTCATTATAACTAAAACCTAAGATGTTGGATGCTGATTTGAGAAGTGGCCCCAGTCCTCCTGAGAGGGTCAGAGGAGAATTTCTTTAACACACGAAGCCTGCTGGTATGACCAAGTCAGAGCAGGCCGTTAGATCTGATCAGCTCATTGAGAGGTGCATTTGCAGGCATCGGTGGAGAACCAACATTCTTTCAGAAGTGGGTTTCAACTCGGTGCAGAAAATCATTACCATGTCCTTACAGCTTCCTAATAACTTATGTCCTGAGGTCTGTGGAGCTACGAATAAATATTCTCTCCAATACAAGCTTTGCTCAACAGACTTTTAGTCCTTTCAATATGTAAGATCAACACAAGCAAGTTGCCTCGTTTTTTTATAAGTAATTGCTTTTTTATGCACACATTTTCAAGACTTGAAAAATTCTAAAAGGAAGAATTCAGAGAAAAAAAATAAGCAAAATAAATCCCTGACGTTTTGTCATTAAATCCTCACTATCACTTTTACAGTCATCAAGGGGAGAAAAAAGGAACAAGGAGTCTTTCCTTCCCTTTCCATGTAAAGATTGGTTAAAATGACACAACTGTAGGGAAAACCAGACAGGCATTTTAATCAAAATTGTTTATTCATATAATGCAGACACATGGTAGATAACCAAAATGCTTCTTCTGTGGCTATTTCCACACAAAATTTACTCAATGCTTTTCATATGGTGAAAAAGGTATGAAAATAAGACATTTTATGTGCAAGACAATGCAAAACAATGACTCATTCTATTAAAAGTTAAATCTATAAATTTCTGAAGCAGAGTGGCCTCTGCTTCACGAGTGAAATCTTTTTGCATTCAGATAAAAAGGGGTGTGCAAGGGGCAGTCCAGACTTCCACTGCATTATTTATGGCAGAGTTGTGCAGACATCAGACTCAGATTAAATTTCTGATCGCTTAGGACAATTATGCTAGGCAACAGTTATCACTAAACGAATTCACCTGACCTAGTGGATGACAGTCTTTGTTCAATACTTAGAACTGCGTTAAAACTTCTGCAATGAAATCAGATAATATGCCTAACAGTGCACATAACAGCCTACACTCAACTAATTTTGCAAACTATTAAGCTAAATGAGAACTTGAAGTAGAAACCATGTTATATTCTGTTGAGTAGAACTCATAAAACTGATGATACAGAGAAATTTCAGCTGCATTTATCTTAGGGTTTAGATGTTCTCAAAGCCAACCTCATTGGCCAAAATCTGAAAAACAGAAGGTTTTTTTTTAATCATTACAAACAGCTTGAGGACCACATACTTCCTATGGTAATTCTAGGAACTCAGAAAGTACACCATCTGTACTTTAATAAATCCACAGTAGATTAAGATCATGTGTCATATTTATCAGCACGTTTTTATTCTATATCTTATTCTCAGGAAAACAGCAGATCTTTAAACTGTAAAATTCTTTTAAGAGAAGGATAACATCCACCTTTAGAATAAGAAATAGAGAAACTATATGGAAAGTCCATGGTCCCTTTTGCTGCTCCTGTAGCATTCTGTCCTGAGACAATGGGGAGCCTTAGTGCAGGGAATTACCAGAGCAGTACATCAGTTAACATGGAATTCTGGGGAAGCAGGGAGGGAAAGAAAAGGGAAACTCTTTTAAAAACAAAACCAAAGTCAATCCCAAACAGTTATCAGAGTAGAAAAAGGGATGGGCATAAGATAGATAAATGGTAGGGAAATTAAAAAAAAAAAGGTAGATGGAAAAAGGAAATACAGTGCTGTATATTGAACCATAACATAAAGATAAGCCCAAGACTGAAAGACCACTCCTCTAGAATTCTCACAAAATCAGCTGGAAACAACTGAAAGAATGTGAGATGAGATTTTCAAAGAGCTCATAACTGGACTGTCTGGCGGCAGTGAAAGCAATAAGAATTTCACCTCCCTAATAAGTCCACACTGAAAGTAAGGGATAATCCTACTCATTGGCTTTATACACTCCACTCCCAGCAGATCTACTTGTTGCTCTTTCTTTTTTATAGCTTCTTGCTCTTGTATGTTTGAAGCAGCACAGGAACTCTGAACATATTCCCGATGAGCATCTCCAGCTAAAAAGGATAACTTCTGTATGCAAAACTGCATATTCATATTTTTCTACCAAAGGGGCACTGAATAATGCTATCCAGAATGTGAATACCTTCTGTCTTAATTTCTCTCTTGAAGAGACTAATTTATATTTGAATCGCATCATCTATTAGTTGAATACTATTAAAAAAATGTAATCCATACTTCCCTAGGAAGGCTGCTTTTAAGTGTTCTGTCTTTGATGCTCTTTCAGATTAATCAGATAAGAAGAATATAGTGATGTTTTTAAAATTCACAACACCTTGATTAATAAGGCAACACACAATTTAAATTCCTGGTGAAATGGACTATAAAAATGGCTTTATCAAACCATGGGAGTAAGAATTTGTCTTGAGACATTAATCACAGTAACTGTGAAAGAGACTGATCCTACTATCCTTGTTCAAGTTCCCATGCAGGTTTTGCTTATCCAAGAAATGCTAACTCAGGTCTTTAAGACAAGTTGCATTTTTAAATTATTTGAAAGACCCTCCAGTGCATTCACCAGAGTTATACATAACATCAGACACTTTTTATTTACCAAATCTGTAAACCGCATGGCAGGTAACATGACAAGCAACATTCAGAGCCTCATGGTGGGTAAAGTGAAAAGAATAAGGTACTTACACTAAAATCATGTTACAATAGCACACGATAGACAGAATGACAGAGCAGTTTCACTTGGACCAAGTAAACAGAAAGTCTGGGAAACCTTTCACCACTGTCAGAACATAAATATGTCCTGGCAGCAGCTTTCGACTGAACACCTATTCATTTAGACAGAACTAATTCATGAGGCATGTGTTTAAAATGTGCTCTTAAAATATGTCTGTATGCATCACCTGGGAATGAAGGAACAAAACACTAAGACAGCAGTAAAATTAGTGAAGTGGACACCACTGCTGACTAATCTAAACTGTAGCAAATTATTTGTGCAATACACTAGGCTACTGTTCATAATTGTGGTATTAGCCTGTCTCTTCTTTCCCTTCTGAGTGCCCGAATGCAATATTTTGACAGGAGACAGAATGTACAGGTCTCTGTAGCATAGTTAATTAAGCATAGCTGTTCATTTCCTAGGCCTTCATAAAGATCTGCTGCTAAGAGAGGAATTGGAGAAATCAACACTATGGAACACTGTATTAATACTAACTTGTTTACTCATAGCTTCTCAATCACTTCCTCCCACTGTTTAATTACCCCAACAGTCTCTACACTGTGCTTGCCTCGGACATGCAAAACCAGAGCAAGCTACAGAAATAGTAAGTGAATGCAACTGGCAACACAAACAGAATAACAGAGGTGGTCAGTTCTTCAGGGTACTGCTGCCTTGCTGTTACTTGTACGTAAAGGATATATAAATAGTGCTTGAAAAAATAATTTTCACTTCCCCTGCAGGAGCTAGCATTATTTATCTGCTATATATCCTCAGCAGTACAAAAGGAGCTAGAATTTCTGTCTACGCTTAACGTAGCACACCCTGAGCCTCATAACAAAGAAAAGACTACCTATCTCCTCTTATTATTGTCACCTTCCCCTGATAAGCGCTAGCAGTATTGAACTTTCTGATTTGCTATTAATGCTGTGACTACAGAAACAAATATGCTGGCACAAACACAGTTGAGAAGGGAAGGAGGGAGGAAGGGAAGACCAAGTGTCTAAAGGTGGGAAAAGTGTAAGACTACTTCATTTGGTTGTACTGTTGGCTTAAAAAAGTTTAAGCTGTACTTGCAGTTACAGCTTAAAAATTGAGAGGGTGGGATTAAGCAGAGACATGAGTATTTGCCAGAAAACCATAGTATTGCAGTGTAAATGATACTGATTTCATTAATAAATCTGGGGACTATTAGACAGATCTTACTAACAATGGGTTTTTTTAAGTACAAAAACCCTACTAACAGGCTGGGAAATAAATTCAAGACAAAAACTGGGCCTCACACTCGAGGGGCAGTCACATTGCTCAAGTTATTTAACACTTAACAAGACGAAGTGGTAAGGAGTGTCCTGTAAGAGGATCTTCAAGGTTATTTACTAAGACACAGATCTTCAGAGAACTTTAGGTGCCTGGTCACCACCTAATTAAACACTGCTGTGCATAATAGCTGCCTAAATATCTATGACAGTCTGATCCAATTCCTTGCTTTTCATTCTTTCATCTCTCAGTTTTATCCTTTTAGAAGAATTACTCAAAGTAAAAGAACAGATTAGCTTTCAATACTGTGAGGCAACAGCATAATAGGGCCTTAGAGATTTTTCAGGAGATGTCCGGTTACAAATATGCCTCCAACAGCAAAGGAAATCATGATAAGATTAGCTGGATACTGTCAAGATTGTGTAGATTACTTATAGTGAGAGATCAAGAAGGATAACAACCGGGTCTGATTTTTTTTCCCTTTTTTCTTTCCTGGAAACATCCACACACATCCTCTTACTCTTATGCAGAAAAGGACATAGCTGTCAATAACACAGCAGTGCCATTCAAATGATCAGGGTAATTTAAGAGAACCGTACTTTGGGAAGTCTGCACCAATAGATTGTTCCCAGTTTTATGCATCAATATACTAACGTAGCCTCAGGCAATTCAAAAGTTCACTAACCCTTGTACAATCTATTTCAACAAGGAACTCTTCTGTCCTTCTGATGTACTCATGGATACTGCAGCAAAACCCCACTGCAAACTGGAATCTAATTTCTATTGACCAGACCATTCATCTCTATCACTGAGAGATTCGTCTGAATCTCCTGAACGAGTCCAGATGCTCTCTGGATCAAACCTCTCCAGTATGGCCTTTAGCCAGGCCCAGTCCAGCTGCTACCTTGATCAAACCCCTCCAGCATGGCTTCCTGCCCAGTCTAGCAGCTCTCTGTCCTTCCTCATATGCCAAAGATGCACCACAAACTCTTGTCAGGCCAGCTTACTGAGCATAGTCACACAAGTAAGAAAGTATACCCACTCTTGGATTGAGCTTGCAAGCCATTCCTCCAAAGACACTACAGTTATAGGAGCTAAATGCAACATCTTTTGATGAGCTATTTCCTTGTCAAACTTTTGCAGTAACTTAGTCATACAGTTTTAAGTTGATCAAAAATAGATCCAAATTGGTGCTAAAATCCTTCAAGGAGAATAAGGAAAAACATGTATTTAAAAATCTCAAGCTCACTCGCCTTATTACAGAGGTTAAAAACATGCCATGGATTTTCAGCTCTCTTTGGAATGTGTTGCTTCCACTTTCTTTGCTCCATTTGTGAGTGTACTAACAGCAGATGGGAAATAGCTAGACTGTTCTCTGAAGTGCTCTCTGCCAGCATTTCTAGTCAATTTGACTCCATGGTTTAGCTCACAGAGCTGAGTGGAAGGAGATGTAGCTCAGAAACTAGCAGGGAAGAGTGTGAGAAGACGGGCCAGGGGAAAACCACAGACATAACCCAAAACAGAGCAGAGAGAAGAATGGGGTGACAGTTAAAAAAAGAGAGAAGAACTGAGTACACACTGAAAACCCAATACATTATGAAAAGTGGAAAAGAAGAGAAAAAAGGAAGAGGAAAAATGAGTACAGGAAAGAGAAGCAGGCTAAAAGCACATAACAGCAGACAAAATTTACCAAATACTTCTGTTCCTTTTGTTTCACTCTAATTCTGAAAGATGCTTTCACTTACAGTTTGTGAAAGCTGTACATTTTGAGGCAGGGAGCAAAAGGGTCTCTCATTGGAAATGTGTAAGAAATGTACTGTTAGAGTACATTGCAATGGTTACTAACATCACTTGCATTCACTTAGAGAAAGCAAGGGCCATTTCAGACTCAAATTTGGCTAAAGTGGGTGAGATGATGGCCTCAATAAGGTTAACTGCACTGTCGCCATTGACTTCAGTACAACCAGGACATCACAGTTGCCATGAAAGATGCAATTCTTAAGTTCTTTCTAATTTTTATTGGGTGTTTTTGACCATAATATATATTAACATATAGTAGTCATTCGAATGCAGTGTTAAAAAGGCCATATAACATAAAAGAGAATAGCAAAAAATGTTTGCAAACTACTTCTTACATCGTATTATTTCATGTGTGGAATACACCACCCTCTTCTGCACTATTAGTTTTCCTACAGTGTGTGAAGACTCAAGAGCATGAAAACAACAGTCGCTTGCATGTAAGACACGACTTGTTTCACAGCTAATTTTACCAGCTATCATCCTATTATACTTCACAGTATAAAATAACAGGCTGTAAAGCAAAGATCTACACTGATGTAAAGATCAAGACACAGGATCAAGCAAAAGGGCTCTCACGATGTAAGATGCCACACCAAACAAAAAAGGCTTAATATGTCTCACCTTCACTCTATGGATTTTAAACGAGAAATCTGTATTTATAACTAAATTCACATTACAAAACCAGTAACAGTATTACCCAGCTCCAGCTCCACCTTCCTGGAAAGAAGAATACAAGATACCTGGAACATGTCATTCAGCAAGAACCTTTTGCATTGTACATTAACAAAACTGCTCTGTGCAACATTTTATTGGGCTCAAAACTACCGGCAGACTGACAGCCGTCATTAAGAGGGCCCACGAGCAAATAATTCATTACAGTTAAAAGCAAATCGTCATTTTCTCTAATAACCTCTAACGCTCTCTGTGATTAAGCTGCCAAAACAAAAGGAAGAATAAACTGCAGCGAAGGTGAATTTCTGCTTTTGCAGACCCGTCCTCATGGACCCACCTGCGGGCGGGCAGCCCGTACCTGTTCTCGGTCTGAGGAAGGGGCGTCAGGGGGGATCTGAGGGCTCGCACCACTTTCGGCGTGACAGCAGCTACTCCTGCCTCCTCCTCCTGCCAGCCCCTGGCAAGCAAGACGGGAAAACAAAGTTGTCAGAACCAGCGATGGAACATCACCCGGCGCGACCGGCGCCGCTGTCCTCCCCGCGACCCGCTCGCACGCCGCGAACGCCCGAGCCCAGCACCGCCCGCGCCGGGCACCGCGCCGGGCTCCGCCGCGCCCGCGGGGGCTCATCCCGCTCCTCCCGCCCTCCCGGCCGGCTCCGGAGCGAGGGCGAGGCCCCCCTCGGCCGCCCTACTGGCGCGGAGGGCTGCTGGCCGCCGAGGCGCAGGAGACAGCCGCCCAGCAGCAGGCTGCCAGCGCCGCGGCCAAGGCGATGACAGCCCGCATGGTGCGCTCGGCAGCGGCACCCACCGCAGCTACGGCCGTCCCATAGTATTTAAGGGAGGCTGCGGGGAGGGGGAGGCGGCCATGGCAGCCACAGGGTCTCTGCGCTCCGCCCCTCGCCCGCAGCCCTGCGCCGCCGCCATCGGCCCCCCCCCGCGCCTCACACCGCGGCCGTCGCTCGGGGCCCTGCCCGCCCGGCACTGCCCTGGCTCAGGGAGCTGCGCGGCGTGAGAGCTGGACCGGGGCGGCCTCTGGAGCGGCGATCAGGGCGGTTGCCGGCAGCGAAGGCTGAGGGGCGCTCGTCCAGCAGTGCGAGGGAGTTGAAGCTGCCCGAACTTTAATAGGGGAAGGGGGCGCCGTGCGGGCGGCGGCGGGAGCAGCGTGCGGGGCTTACCCGGCAAGGGTAGCCAACCCTGCCTGCCCTGTGGCAGTAGGGGTGAAGTCGCTGCTACTTTAATAGCTCTTAATTAAAAATAGTCAACGTGTCGTGCATTGTATAAAAGTGATCCCACCTGGGGTACTCTAGGGTCCCCAAGGTAAGAAGGTGGACCTGTTGGAGCGAGTCCAGAGGAGGCCACGAAGGTGACTAGAGCAGGATCGGAGCACCTCTGCTATGGAGACAGACTGAGAGAGTTGGGGTTGTTCAGCCTGGAGAAGAGAAGGCTCTGGGGGGACCTCATTGCAGCCTTCTGGTATCTGAAGGGGGCCTACAAGAAAGCTGGAGAGGGACTTTTTAACAAGGGCCTGTAGTGACAGGACAAAGGGAAACAACTTTAAACAAAAAGGGGGCAGGTTTAGGTTGGATATTAGGAAAACATTCATTGCTATGAGGGTAGTGAAGCACTGGAACAGGTTGCCCAGAGAAGCTGTGGATGCCCCATCCCTGGAAGTGTTCAAGTCCAGGTTGGATGGGGCTCCGAGCAACCTGGTCTAGAGGAAGGTGTTCCTGCCTGTGCAAGGGGCTTGGAACTAGATGATCTCTAAGGTCCCTTCCAACCCAAAACACTACCAGTCTATGATTTGTAGTGGTTTTGGTAAAGAAATGTTTCAGTAGTAAGCTTTTATCTCTCTACCTCGTGGTGCAATCAATGTTGCTTTTACGAGCCAGCCTTTGGTATGAGAAACCTAGTAAGGTGACAAGGTGCCATTAACTAGGCCCCCTTTATTAAAAGAGTGGGTAGTAGAGATGCTGTGACTTACAGCAGCCGTTCAGTCATGAGCCAGCTGACACCTTGTTTTTACAGATTCTTCCCTATCCTTCCTGTTTTCTGTATCTGTGAGCATTCCCTTAAGCCTTGGAGCTCCTGCTCTTCTGTTCTCAAACAGTGGCTGGAAAGCATCAAAGTAAGAGCACTGCTACAGCTTTATTAATAATAAAGGAACATGGACTTGATATTGTGAGTGGTTAGATATGACAGAAGGAGCATGCCTACGATGCATCAGAGGAAGAACACAGCACCAGCTGTGATGGGGTATGCAGGGAAATACCTGATGATTTTTTGGGGCGTTCATTAGCACGCTGGTGAGCAGTGCTGTGGGTGCTGGTGGGAGGGAGCTAGAAGCCATTGGCTGGTGTCCCAGGGGTAGCAGGCATCTGGCTGGCTCAGTGCACAGTCCTCCTGAGAGCACAGCTCAGTTGTCTTCTTGGCTTTGAGGTACTTAGTTGTAATAGAAAAAAAAAGCCGGTGTAAAGACTTCTGAAGTCCTGAAAAAGTTTGTGATTGTTGTGAATCATAAATGTCTTGAACATGAAGATGTTTCATCACCATTTCCCAAAAGCTTGCTTCAGGCTTATCCTATAAAACCAGGTGGCATTGTATATGAACATGTAGGGGCCAACAGTCAAGCTTTTCAAGGTACCTATATGTTCACTGATCAGCAGATACTAGAAATTTCAATCTCACCATTACCTCTGTAAAACTTGAAGGCTCCTACTTATGTTAGTGGACAGCCCACCCACAGATAGCATCAACTATTTCATAATATCCATTAAGTATTCTATGTAAAACAATAAATCTTTGATTTTAGAAAGTCTAGCGGTGTTCGGTTTCAGCTCTGAATGAAAGAAGACTAAGAATTACAGTCCAGAAAACAATTTGGTTTTTTTCTGTCACTGTTATTTCCCTCTGCAATACGGTTTTCCCATGAGTCCTGAAGTATCACTGTCAGTTAATCCATGGGTTATTTAGTGATGTCAGTGAGGACATCGTATTTCAAGTTAGAGGTCTGCTGCCAACACTAGTCTATAATACCAGTAAAGATTTTTTTTTTCCAAGATCAGAAGGTTAATCTTTATGTCATATAAAGTTCTTGCAAAGAAAATGGGAAGATTATAAATCATATCTGTTTAAATTAGACTTGGCACTTGGTGCTTGTTGTTTACCAACAAATTTACAAACATGTATTGATTGATTGTCACAGTATCTTTAAGTTTTACCAGCCTTAATTTCCTGGCAGAGCAGCTTAGTAGAGAGGTTAAGTGACCTTGCTAAAGGGAGAGATGAGAATTCATGGTAAATCAGGATTCAAATTTAGGAATGCTGGATTAAAAAGACCAAGTTTCTCTTACATGATGTTGTCCTGTCAGAAGCCATGGGGTCAGGTAATGTAACGTTGAGGGTCAAAATGATCAAGGCACAGGTGCCAAAGATGCCACACAGGAAAAGACAGAGATTGTGTCCCATCTCATCCTCCTGCTCACAGTTGGAAGCTGCTGCATCTTAGCATCCCCCATCCTCTGATTTCCATTAGCTTCTGAAGTCAGTGGGAATTGTTAATTGCTGGCTTGCACAGAAGGAAGAGTTCACTAATCAGCCAGGTGGTATCATCACGACTTAGTTGCTGAGTTCTTAAAGCTCTGCTTAGCTGCTAATTTGGAAAAGCAAAATGCAGCTTTGGGTATCATCCATGAATAGCTTGCTGGGCCCCCCCCCCAGGTTGGCAGGGTTGCACCTCAAAAGGCGTCTGGTGGAGGTGCCTGTAGGGCTGCTGGTCACATGGAGCTAGTTTAGCCTTCTTATTTCCAGCAGCTAAATCATATTAAGAAGCAATTAATGTTCATTAAATGCTTTCCTAGTGCTACCTTCTCATCTAAGCAATGGCTGTCATAGAGATATTAGTTATTGCAAATAGGAGGAGAGATGACTGTTACAATTGGGAAGAGAAAGAAACTAAAGATATTCAGTGAAGCTGGAGTCCCATGTTGTGCCAAAGCATGAGAGTCCCCAGAGCGAGGTGTTGGTGCGAGACGACTATTTTGGTATTTTCAGTGTAGTCACTAATGTGAGTGCTTTTAGCAAAAAAATTTCCAACAAACTCACAAAACCGAAACATATGTCTTTCGAACTGGGAGAAAGTCATTGGTTCATTGCGTTTCACAACTTCTTCATTTATTTCCACCCACAGTTTTGGGCAATGTGGTTCCACATAATGATAAGCAGAAAGAACTGAGGTGCTGTCTGCCAAACTCCAGGACATCAAATTGTCCCAATCATTTCACAAAAGAAAAATGGAAAAAAGCAGTGCATTCCTATACCCCATTAAAACAAAAACAAAAAAAAAGTCAAGTCCAAACCCAATAACTACCTTGTGTGGCTGTTGCTGCTAGCTTTTTTTTCTTGCCCTAATGTTTTTCACTATTTTTTGAGGGCAGGATTTTGTGTCCCATAATTTACAAATTAGCTTTATTAAAATAATAATTTAATAACTAAATTCAGCTAGCAAACAGTCTGTTAAGATCTACATAAAACTAGCTAAAGTATTAGGTATTTTAAAGTAGCTATTTGTACCCCGGTTTTGAGATGTTTGTCAAGTGTGCCAGTGATGACTCATCCAGTCAGGCACTGTTCACTCTCCAGAGAAGGTCAGGGTGAAAAAAATCAGAGCATGTGGAGAAATCTTCAAGTTTCTAAGAGTCTTATAAGATGTCATACTTACAGAATCACAGAATATTCTGCATTCGAAGGGACCCACAAGGATCATCGAGTCCAACTCTTAAGTGAATGGCCTATACAGGGATCAAACCCATGACCTTGGTGTTAATAGCACCATGCTCTAACCAATGGTAGGACATGCCTCTTCTGCACAAAATTAACAAATTTTTCACTGTTGTAAACTGTGGTTTTTTATTTGTCAGAGTAGTGTATTGTGTATGCTTCACCAGATTTCTTTATTCAGTTTAACTGAGAAACCAGCTTCTCCTCTTTAGCAGTCGTGATCCAGCCCCACAGCAGAAAAATGCTCGTTGATAAAAATGCATCTTGTAGCATAAGCAAAGTCTAGGCCAGTAACTACTGAGAATGAGTGCTCTACTGCCAGCCACTGTGCAAGCCTTCACTCAACTGCGGGCAGTGCAGGCACTGATGTGCCTGTGACAGTAGTGCAGTCTGGTGTGTGTGCTTTTCCAAAGGAAGCTGATGGGGACAAGAGGATCTGAATTACAACTAGATACAAAGGAAGATTTTAATACAGAAACCCCAAAACTTTCAAGTTGTTAACCTCAAGGGAGATTATTTTTTTTTCACCATTCTCTTTTTTTCCTAAAGGCTCTTAGCCTTGAGACATCCTAACGTGACACCATGAGAAAGGCCATATTGGGTCAGACTAGAACAGTGTGTTCTTCAGGCAGTGCTCCGTAGCAGAGGGAAGTTCTTCCTAGGGAAGAACTGTGCAGTGATCCATCCCTAGGACTCTTTCTCATCTTCCAGCAATCAATGGCTCGGGGAATTTCTGAACCAGAGCTAGCTGTGTGTTTAGTTGCCTTTCATGGATTTTCTTCCATAATTGTGTCTAATTGCTTTTTAAAACCATGTAAACTTTTGGCATCGACAGTCACTTGTGTCAATGATTTCCATCCAAGCTGAAATCCTTCCATTACAATTAGCCCAGGAACAATTTGCTAAGACAAGTCTCTGTTGTTATTTAGAAACTCTGATCTCCTTTGCTAAAGGACATGATGTGTTAGTATTCTTTTGCAAAGAATTTCACTACAGTTGCACAAAACAGCGCTGCTGTTAATACAAATTCACAGCATCCAGTGCTAGAATTCAGAGGGAGTTATTACAGAGCATACTGTGAATGCAAATTAAAAATAATGCACAACACTCAAGTAAATCCTAATGGACCAATGGCACAATGTCAAATA